ATTTAATCAATGAAAAGAGACTTACTGATATCTGTCATGGTCAGACGTATCAAAAGCGAATGATCAAGGCTTTTAACAAGAAAGTCAGACGACAAGAATATCAAGTCGGGGATCTGGTGATCAAACGCATCATACTACTACAAGGTGATCCCAGGGGAAAATGGACCCCCACTTATGAAGGTCCATTTGTGGTTAAGAATATTTTCTCGAGAGGAGCTATGATTCTAACCACCATGGATGGTGACGACCTTCCTCACCTCGTCAATGCAGACATAGTGAAAAAATACTACGCATAATCAAAGACCCGCTAGGTCGACTGACCTAGGAAAAAATAAGGGCTTCCCGGCGAACCAAAAGGGTTCGGGAAAAAGTAAGGGATGAAAATGAAAAAAAAACTGTACACCCGGCAATTCGAAAACCTGAAAAGGCGGCTTGGGCAAAAAAGGGTATCCCGGTGGGCTGAAAACCCGAAAGGGAGGTCCAGGCAAAAATTAGGGATGAAAGCGTAACAATATGTCTCATTGGATCATCTTGCAACCAGACTTTGTTATCAACTATCAAGCTCGGACGACGCCAATCAATCTGATCTATCTTCGACCAAGTAGCAAAGTGATAAGACGCTCAAAGATATAAAGGCAATAGCAGAGTTGGAACCCAATGGGATTATTCACATAGCTGTTTTTCTTTTTTACACAAATTGTATAAATTGTGTTTCTTCGGTGGCGTTCTCTTACTAGGACGTCAACCTCTTTGTACAAAACGCCTATTACAGGCCAACTTCAAAATCAATACAATTCATTGTTACGAGAAATTTCAACTTGTTTTTTCTTTTTCTGTTTTGTTTTGCAAGAACGTCCAATGATTCATTTTTGATATATGCATTTGAAAATGATTGCCACTTATAAATATTTACATAGGAAACAAAAGACAATTGCTCGTAATTCCAGGAACAAGGGCAAATAAGAAGTCTCCAAACCTTATAGTTGCTCTACCTACCAGGTACAGGGATAGAGCCAGCTGGAGAATATGACTAAGGATACATACACTCCTCGTAGAGTAGAAAGTATCTAAAGACAATAGTGTTAACTCTCCCCAGCTAAGGTTCACAATCGTGAATAAGTCGGAAAAATTCTCCCCAAGCAGAGTTTATCTATCACCAACAATAAAGGTTCACCATCAGCGGAGTTTATTTCTTCCACGGGCAGAAATTCAATCCCCGACAGAGTTCATCATCACCAGCAACGGTAATTCACCCCCAGCGGAGTTGTTTCTCCAAATCAGCAGATCATCCAGCAGAATATCTCTCTTCCCCATAGAGTCATTATCCCCTAGGTTTATTCTCAAACAGAGTCTCCCCCGGTGGAATATTCTCAAATAGAACGGACGCAGGTCTCCGGCTAATCATCTTCGGTCACTATTCCTAGCGAGAACGAAGAACTCAACTCCTTGTACTCTTCAACAGCAGTCTAGGATTCATTCTCCCCTGGCGGAGAATATCACAAGAACATTGCATATCCATACATCATGGCATGCACATACGCATCATACAACACAATCTCATTTATTTTGAGAACATCATTACTCAATATATTTCATACATCATGACATTACATATGACTAACTCTTTACCTTTCAGGGAAAGATACAACCAAATTCTCACAAGTTTTCGCTGGTTCAGTCAAATCGATACTAAGATTTCTATTCCAGTTCAAGTTATGAAGCCCGGAATCGACCGGATAATATCTTGATTTCCCCAGAATACTATGAAGCCTGGAATCGACCAGATAGTGGTATCTCTTAAATACAAGCTTAAAGCCCGGAAATCGACCGGAAAACAACTTAACCCCCATCAAGTTATTATGAAGCCTGAAAATCGACCAGATAGCAGTACAAGATACCATGAAGCCTGGAATCGACCAGATAATGGTATAAGACACCGTGAATCCTGGATCACGACCAGATAACAGCAAAGGATATTGAAGCCTGAGACACGACCAGATAATAGTATCAGATACTGCGAAGCTTGGAATTCGACCAAATAGAAGTTTACTTGGCTAATTACTAAGAAGCCCGGAATCGATCAGATATTAGTATGCCTTAAACTCAAGTTGGAAGCCCGGATGCGACCAAATAACCACTTAATTCCTTCTAAAGCCTGGAGCACGACCAGATAAGAAGTGAGAAATTGCAAAGCCTGGAGAACAACCAGATAACAATTTTAATCTCATCCCCCCATTAAGTCACTGTAAAGCCTGGAGCACGACCAGATAACAGTCGATCTTATTTTCCTCAACAAATCACTATGAAGCCTGGAGCACGACCAGATAGCAGTTCATTTGCACCTCCTCGACTAAGAGATGATTCCCCAGTAGAGTAACAGACAACTGAAGTTCCTAAAACTCTATCTCTCTCAAGACAGAGACCAGCATTCCCCAGTGTAGTCCTCCTCAACAACAGGTATACGGGCTCTCGCAAAGGAATCTCTTATGCGATCGACACTTCCTCTGATGGCATCTTTAAGTCCATCCTCCTACATCGACTTCCAAATGGCATCTATAAGCCCATTCCCGATATCGCAAGACAAGTACCACTTCATGCGAGTGCAAATTTCCGGGCACTCTAGTGTTCAATCATCTTCAACCTTCAGATCACGAAAGGAAGACAAGCCAATCTACATCCTCATGTTTAAGAAGATTGAACAGGGGCAGCTGTTGTACCCCAAAATTTTCCCTCCCATATTTCTCAATACATGTCAAGTAAGGTCTTCAAATTGCTAAAGGAAGTCCAAGAGTTGACCAGACAAGCTCTCTCCTAAGACAGTCTACCTCAAATTAGGGTTTCATTTTGCATCAAGATGATTGAGTCCGCAGGATCCCAAATTCTCACCATTATCCTAATATGTTCTCAAGATCATCCATGTCAAGTTTCAAGCCTTGCAGAGGAAGTTTGCTCAGTCAATTGCGCAAAGGCCTGAAAATCGACTGTGCTAGGGCAAAAGTCATTTGTGGCCCACATACAGTCAAACTTCAAGATTTTTGGTCAACATTCTAATTTTTAAGTGTTATTCATCATTTTATCAAGACCCAAAAGTTGCTAAATTAAGGTTTTGTAGGAAAAGTCAACTCAACTTTGACCAAGTATAACTTTCTCATACTTTATCAAAAATGACCCATCCAAAACTAATTTTGAAGAGGATGCAATTCCCTACAATCCATATTCATCTCCCAAGTTCGAAATATGCACTCACAAGAAGATATGAATTTGGACATTATAGGTCATTTTGAAAAGTCGACAAAAACACCTTTTATGTCAAAGCTCCATACATGAACATGGAAGACTCAATTGAGATGAGACCAAAAGGGTTGCTTAGATGACATCTTAAGCTTTCTAAAAAGTCCAAGAACACCTATGTAGGGTCAAAATTGAAGAAGTTATGCATTGGCAAAGTTGACATTTTTTGCAAAATTGCCAAAAGTCAAATGTGCCCAAAATTGCAATTTTTGCTAAATGGGCCCAACTTTTTATACTTGCATTGTGTTTGTAACATGAGCCACGACCCATGAGCCCTTCCATTTGTCATTATTTTATTTTTGTCATTTATTTTGATTTTATTTCAATTAAATCAAATAAAATCAAAATTAAATCATGAAAATATCAAAAACTAATCAAAACTTGAGATTTTGTGCATGTTTAGGTCTATTATACAGCTGGAAGTGAGATTAAATCGTGCAAGCTTCATTTGGACACAAAAAGATTGCATTTTGCTTGATTTGGAAAGATTTGCATAAGGATCAAATCATGATTCAATCATCATAATTAGAGAAGATTTGATACAAGTTTGCAACCCTAATTCACTCTAGGGTACATAAGGAACATGTGCAGATAAAAAAAAAACAAAGGATGAGAGGCATGTAAAACAGAAAGCAAGTTTCAAAAAAATCAAGAAAAGTGGCAAATTGATTTCCACGTTCCATGCCAATTCAAAGCATTCTAGCCATCCCCAAACGTTTGCTGGATATCCCAGGAACGCGTTTCAACCATTAGCAAGCTCCCTCAAGCCTTAAAACGCGCTGTAAGTACCACACAGTTTCTCACTTTTCTTAATTTTGAATCCATTAATTCTGGCATCTTTAGCATGAATAATTGACATATTCTTAATCCTTATGATGTTTGCAAGCTAATGGTTATGTTTAATTGCATTTTTATGGACTGTGTACCAAGATGCCATGGCTAGGGTTTATGCTTCGTTTTTAGGGATTCTTCATACAGGAACAATTGGCCATGGATAGTGGTACCATGATGCTCGTGAGGTTGCAACGAGTTGATTGGTACCACTGGTTATGATTTATCATGTAGGAACAAGATTTTGGAATGGATAAGGGTTGTACCTACGCCCAGTGTCCGTAGGTAAAAGTCCTCTGCCTAAAACGGCAGAAGCCAGGAGGAAGATGATGGCGTGGCAGTTGGTGACTGGCCAATTCAAAATTTGCGCGCTTCAGATTTTGTTTTATTGTTTTATCAAATAGTATTTGTTGGTTATTATTATGACAACTAATACAACCAGCTCAGCTGGCAAGCGTGCAATGGATGAATGCTAAAGGACCTGGGTTCGATCCCCAGGTCCCCAACTTTGATTTCTATTATTTTCTCTTGCATGATCAGGTACACAGGCGCCCCATAAGTCCACCATATGTCCTCAATATCCAACCAATCAGGTCATCAACATGCCAGATCCAAAGCTTCCCAATGAAGATCCACCCTACGCCCAGTCAAGCTAGCAACATGAGATCTGGAAAAGTCAAATGGGCCAGGAACTATTGGGCCCAGATTTGCCATCAACACCCCCTTTTTAGTGAAACATCCAGGCCCATTTTTCTTTCTATTTATTTATTTTATTTCTTTTGATTTAATTAATTTAATTGTTTTTCTAACCAAAATTAATACCTTTTTTCCAAAAATAAAATAAAATCAAGTTTTCATAAATTTAGAATTAGGTTTTTATTTTTATCAAATTTAATTTAATATTAGTCTAATTTAATTTAGGTTTAATTCTAACTTTTTTCCATATATTTAAAATCAATTAGAAAAAAAATTAGGGTTAACATGTGATTTAAGTTTTATTTCTTTTCTCAATAAAACGGAAATACAAAAATAGATTAATTCAATTATTTTTCTTAATTTAAAATTAATTAGCAATTAGGTTTTTTTTATATTCAGTTAAATCTTATTTTCTCAAAACAATCAAAAACCACAAAAAAATGATTTTTCTTTTAATTAGGTTTAGTCGGGGTCAAAACCCTAATTCTCTCGTGTTCGTTTCATCGTGCGCGCTTATTATTTTTTACAATATTAATGCAACTGCTCACGATATGTAATAGTTTAATTAGGATTTTCTTTTATTTATCATTTTACGGGTTTTTGGCTATGTAATTAATCCCCCTCCCCTAAGCCTTGTAATAGCGTAGATCTTATTTCTCGCATTTTAATTCTCGCAAATATTAACTGTTAGATGTATGTTAATAGGATTGTATGACAAGACTGTATGATAATTTAAAATGGCTAGAAAACCCTAAAGTGCAAAGATAATAACTGAAATCAAATCACTCGCACATGCGCACTCCTAGGGTATACTCTCACTTCGGTTGCCTTCGGTAAATGGTCATTAAGTATAAGGTGTTTTAGTGGTCGCCCTCCTGTCTAAACGAAGATCAAATGTCTCGTTCGGTAATGTTGCCTCGGAAAGGTTGCCTCGGAAATGTTGCCTTGAGTATGATCTTAAGACATTAGGGTTATTACTAATACGTCCTAACATTGCTTTAGTGATCGTACGTCCCTTACGAATTGACCCTTACAACTCCAATGACGGTGCTACCAATTTTCAATAGTAGGATAACGCTGTCTAAAGGAAACAAGAACATAAATAATCTTTTTTCGAGTAGGTAGATGCTAGTAGGTACTTGCTCAAATCAAGCCTTTTCACACTTACACTCTTTCAAACAAAGTTTTCAAAAACACTTCGTAACACTCTTGAAGACAAAAGAAAGGGTTAAAATGAAGTAAAACAAAAACTTTTCAAAACACAAACACACAAGCAATTTTAAAATGATGAGCAAGTACCTAAGAGCCCGTGGAAAACCACGAATAGAAAGGGTGTTAATACCTTCCCTTTCTATAATCTACCCCTCGTACTCAGAAATCTCGAAAAAGGAATTTTGCTGTGCTTTTTTCCTTTCCAGTTGGATAAAATAAAAGTCGGTGGTGACTCTTGCTTACCGCGATATTTTGCAAACACAAATGCAAAACGCAAACTAGTATTTTCCAAAACAGTCTGTTCTTCCACCGTATCACAGATAGAAACTACAAGCCCAGCTCGAAACAACTTTCCATCATCCCTCCAAATAGCATCTTTAAGCCCATTCCCTGTACCATCAACCATCACATCACCGAGTGCAAATTTCTGGGCACTCTAATGTCCAATCATCTTCCACCTTCGAGTCACGAATGGAAAAACTCACCAATCTAACTCTTCAGGCTTAAGAAGATTAAACAGGGGAAGCTGTTGTACCCCAAAATTTTCCCTCTCACTTATTAAAATTTTTCTCACAAAATCTCTTTTGGCTCAAGACTGCATTAGGGTTAATCAAGCTCAAGATACCTCCTTAAGCACTAATGACCAAAATTAGGGTTTGAGATTACACAAGAATATTTGAACTTCCAATGCCCCATATGACTTTAATGGATCATTATTGACCCTCAATATTACTCATGTCAAGTTTCAAGCTTTGGATGACACTTTTGCTCAGTCAATTGAACAGTTGACCTAAAAATCAATTGTATTGGGGAAAAAGTCAACTATGGCCAATTTACAGCCAAACTTCATAATTTTTTATCCACAACAACATTTTAAACTCATATTTATTATTTGATCAAGTTTGGACCACAATTCCTTAAGAAATTTGATCAAATCTTCAAAAGGGCAAAATGGTCAAAATTAGGGTTTTGACTAGGAAAGGGCAATTTCTAATTTTTGACCTAGCAAATGATCAATTGGTTTAAGGCATGATATCAAGAGTCAAATTGCGTCATTTTGACCTAATGACATGGCTCAAAACATTGCTCAAGTCCAATGGATTGATAGATAAATTTTCAGTCAACTGATCAAAAGTCAATTGTATACTGAAAAGTCAAACTTTGACTTTTTGGTAAAAATCAAATGCCAAAGATCACAATGCATCAAAGTATGTCAAAATATGAAACTTATTCATCAAGAAATCAAAAATTCAAGATTTCATTTTGAAAAGTTAAAATTTCTAAACTTAGAAATTTTTCTAAGTGTTGGAAATTTCTTATTTTTTCACAACTTTGAGCAAAAATTTCACCATGATGCAAGAGGATTCTGAAGAAACTTTCAACATGAAAGTTGTAGATATCCATGAAATCTACAAATTTTCTTTACAAAACTCCTTCCAAAAGTGCTTGGATCTCAAGTTATAATTTTAAGAACACATGGTCATGAAACAAAACACTTAGTGAAATTTTTGCCCTAATTTGGTCAGGATTTTAACCCAACTTCATGGCACTTTTCATATAGTTCCAAGGGGAATTTTCAAAAGTGATTCAAAGATGGGTTGTATGTCACATTAAAAGCTTTCCAAAATGTCCAAGAACTCCTTGAGATCATTTTTGGGTAGGGAGAATCGAAGAGATGAAGTTATGGTTTTCACACTTGAATTACAAGTCATTTTGTGATGAACAAAATTCAAAATTCAAACTTATGTTGCATAACCTCTACGCTGCAGGCGTCAAACTTGTTAGGAACTCCATAATTAATTGCTTGCACAGTTGTTAGAGGTATCAATTCAAGCATTCAATGCAAGACCATGCTTTATATCCATTTTGGGAAGAAAGTGCACATTGCCATTTTGATAAAGTGGTTTTTTGCACAAAACTTGTTCTTGAGCCTTGCAATTGTTTTCTTCTGATCATACAAGTCCTATAACTCAAGAGAAACTTGTTTAGACACTTACAATCACCCAGCTCATGCTTGTACTACACATTGAAACTTGTCTTCCCACTTTTCTTCAAAATCAAGTAACCTAGCAATTAGCTTGTAACTTGTACTTCTGACTCTCCAAAGCACTCCAACCCTTTTGCTTATAGATACACAAGTTATTTGCCACAAATTCCACGCATGCTTAAGCCCTGAAAACTCCGAGAATACAGAATCACCAAAAAATCTTCAAAACTTTCCATTTCTGAGTTTTGAATCCAATCTCCAAATTTGCTCGTGCGTTTCTTGGCCTTTCATTTTCAAAAGCTCCTAAACAACACACACAAACAATCCCAACACCTGCAACACCTCCATCATCATCCACCATTTTCAAAAACAGCATCTTGCACCTTAACTTCTCCATAACTCCCCAGGCACTTTCAACTCAAGCTAAGCATCCCATTAGCTTCCTGGGAACTTGAGGAAGCTAATCCAATCATTGGAACTTACTAAAAGCTACTCAAACTCCAAACTCGATACCCTCTTGCAAGGTAAGTTTTCTGACTTTTGAACTCTTCATACAGGCATCATTAATGGTTTATTTGTGAATGAAAAATGTAGATATCATTGCCCTAAAGCTAACCATGTCCATAGTTTTCATTTATATTGCTTGAGCTTAGAGAATTTTAAGATTGAAGTTTCTGAAATTTTTAGGGTTCAGATTAGGGCCATTAAAATCCATGCTTGTCTTTGATCTATAATTTTATTGCTTTGCATTTCTGAAATCGTGAGGAAATTTGCTACAGGTTTCCTGTTTACATTTTTCATTTTTGTTGAGAATTGAACAAGATACAGAGGCTCTGGCTGAGTGCGAGGTTGAAGCTGAAGTTCTGGCCATGAACTTGTTTACTATCATATATTTATTGTTTTGTTTATATAAACGGATGTATAGCCATCTCAGTGGTAGAAGCGCGCGCCTGTGACTATAGGGACTTGGGTTCGAGCCCAATGGTACCCTTTTGGATTTTTTTTTACATATTTCTCACATTCTTACTTTTTGGACAGGCGCCTGGGTCTAACAGTCTTGGGCTTTTTTTTTCTTACTGCTGACCCCCCTGCTGGCTACTCACACCCCTGGCCCATTTTATTTTCTTTTGCTCATTTTTATTTATTTATTTTCTTAAATATTTTATCTAATACTAAAAAATCAAAAAATATATAAAAACATTAGATTTATATTTTGTTGTAGTTTATTTATTTTTTACACAAAAAAATGATTTTATTTAATCATACTTTATTTATTTTACTAATTTGATTTGTAAATTTAATTAAAAAACTAGGGTTTTAGTTATTTTCTTTTACACCATTAAAATATTATTTTAATATAAAAAGACCAAAAATATTTTATAATACTATAAATTATTTTTAAGACAAAAATACCAAAAATATTCTTCTTACAAACTTAATTTCTCTTTTAATCAATTAATAAATTAGGGTTTTTTTTATTTAAATTATTTTCTTAGTAAATTTAGGTTTCACTTTTTACTAATTTACTTAACTATTTCTCTTTTAGTTATTTAGGTTAAAACAAAAACTCTTTTCCTAAAAAATCCAAACAAAATATCCATTTCCTTCACATTTACATTCTTGTATATTTATTCATTTTTGTACATTATTTATCCAACTCAATATGGTTGTAATAGATAATTAGGTTTATTTTCTTGCAATCTCGATTTATAATTTGTACACCCCCTCCCACAAGTATTGTAATAGCGTAGTAATTTTAAATTTCGTAATTTATCGCTTTATATACAAATGCTAGTAATTAGGGTTTGTATGGAAAGACTAAAACCAATCAATTAGAAAACCTTAATAAAAGACAAAACCAAGCATGAAAAACAATACACTTGTACACAAGCACCCCTAGGGTAAATCCACTTGGTTGCCTTACAAAATGGCCATATTACGCATGTGAGGTATCTTAGAAAAAAATAAGCAAAATACAATATCATAGTTCCTCGATGACGCTATCTATGTTGCCTTTCAAATGATCTTGGTCCCTAAAAGAGAATGCTAAGATACCTTACAACATTGCTAATCATGGTTATACGATGATCCACGTCCGTCCCATTTACATCCAAAGATAGGGTTACTTACCAAATCGATGGTAAGATAACAATGTCAAAGGAAAGAGGAAATGAACATGAAAGACTTTTGAGTAGGTAGAATGCTCCTAATTACTTGCTCTATTTCAAAACAAAACATCCTTGCTATTTTTAAAACAAACACCTACACTTTCAAAACATCTTACAAACTTGAAAACATTTTCAAAAGATCAACATCTTTGTATACATTCTTACGAACAAGAATCATTACAAAGTTTGCCTAAGCAATGGCCTCTTTACAAAATACTTTCAAAAATCACACAAGGCACAATTTCAAACAAAAGCAAAGTGATCTAGCAAGTAACTAAGAGTCCATGGAAAACCATGGATGAAAAGGGTGCTAATACCTTCCCTTTTCATAATCTACCCCCGAACTCAAGAAATAATCTTAAAGATCTTTCCTATGCTTTTTCATCTTTCCTTTTGGATAAAAGAAAAGTCGGTGGCGACTCTTGCTAACCGCAACATTTGCGATAAAACGCAAAAACACAAAGTCAGTTCTCCCACCGTATCACAAAGGTATATAGGGCTGATGGGAGGTTAATCATGAAAGCACCATTATCGGAGAACAAAACCTTCAAAGTCAAACTCAACACACCAGATGATAAATGTCTTGCTTTAAATGTAGAAGAATACAAGAATTGGCTATGGCATCACAGGTATGGACATCTAAACTTTAAAAGTTTATGTATGCTCAATCAGAAGAAAATGGTGCTTGGGTTTCCGTATGTGAAGGATCCAAAGCAGATATGTGAAGAATGCTGCAAAGCTAAGCAGGCAAGGAAGGCATTCAAACGTGATTTACCTATAAGGTCAAGGTAAAAATTGGAGCTGGTTCATTCAAATGTGTGTGGACCTTTCGAAGTAAAATCCAATGGAGGTAACCGGTATTTCCTTACTTTCATTGATGAATTCACCAGACATATGTGGATTTACCTCATTGAAAGGAAGAGTGAGGTATTCATACAGTTCAAGAAGTTCAAGTTGCATGCTGAGAAACAAAGTGGCTGCAAATTAAAAAAGTTAAGAACTGATGGTGGTGGTGAATATACTTCAGCAGAATTTGCCAGATTTTGCAATGAGGAAGGTATAGAGCATGAGATTGTTGCATCCTATATGCCTCAGCATAATGGCATCGCTGAAAGAAAGAATAGAAGTGTACTGAACATGACCAGATGTATGTTGAAAGCTAAGAATATGCCTAAGAGTTTTTGGGCTGAAACAGCTTCGACAACAATATACATTCTAAACAGATGCCCAACGAAGAAGATGGTCGAAAAGACACCACATAAGGCTTGGACAGGGTCAAAGCAAAATGTAAGTCATCTTAGAATTTTTGGATTAATGTGTTTCAGGCATGTACCTGAACAATTGAGAAAGAAGTTGGATGATCGAAGTGAAGTCATGGTACTCATAGGTTATCATTCGACTGGTGCATACAAATTGTATTCACCAATCGAAGATAAACTAGTGATCAGTAGAGATGTTCTTGTAGACGAAAGCAAATGATGGGATTGGAGTCGAAGTGCAGTTCAACAAGAATCAGACACAGTCACAACTGTGTTCAAAGAAGGTGAAGCTTCGACAAGTCAAAATGAAAACAGTGATACTTCGATTGGTCGAAATGAAGAACCACCTATGTAGAACGAAAGAGGATCCACAAGAACAAGAACTGAGTAAACTAGACTGATTGGATATGAGAGGTTTCCAGATCAAGCAATAGATGCTGATGGTGACTTAATCGAAGAAGCCATGATGATGGCTGAAGCAGAACCAATTGACTTGGGTGAAGCCTTGAACAATTTGAATTGGTGTGAAGCCATGAAAAAAGAACTTAGAGCCATTGGGAAGAACAACACTTGGGAACTTGTCGAAAGAACCAACAAGAAACTAATTGATGTGAAATGGATCTACAAGGTGAAACGAAGGCCAGATGGTGAGATTGCAAAGTACAAGGCAAGACTGGTGGCCAGAGGTTTTCTACAACAACCAGGTATTGACTTCGATGAAGTGTATGCGCCTGTTTCTAGGATCGAAACAATCAGGATTGTTGTTTCGATAGCTGCATATAGAGGATGGAAAATGCACCAACTTGATGTGAAGTCAGTATTCTTGAATGGGCCTCTGGAAGAAGAAGTTTATGTCACTCAACCACCAGGCTTCGACGTCAAAGGGAAGGAGTCGAAGGTTTACAGATTGAGGAAGGCTCTCTATGGCTTGAAGCAAGCTCATAGAGCTTGGAATAAAAGGATAGATAGCTTCCTAATCAAAGCAGGGTTCATAAAATGTGTCTCTGAACATGGAGTGTATGTAAATGATGTCGAAAGTGCCAATCGAATCATTTTATGCCTATATGTTGATGACTTACTCATTACAGGAGCAGATGAAGCTGAGATAATGAAGGTAAAGTCAAAGTTAATGCATGAATTTGAAATGTATGATTTAGGGAATCTTTCCTACATCCTGGGAATGGAATTCAAAGACATCGAAGGAGGAGTTTTCTTGCATCAAACAAAGTATGCTCAAGATATATTGAAGAGATTCAATATGAGCAACTGTAAGGAAGCTGTTACTCCATTAGAGACTGGAGCAAAGTTGAAGAAGGAATCAAATGATGAGTTTGTAAGTTTGACTTTTTACAAATAAATTATTGGATCATTGAGGTATCTTTGCAATACTAGACCAGATATCTTCCAAAGTGTGAGATTGTTGAGGAGATTTATGGAGAAGCCTCAGGAACGTCATCTCATTGCAGTAAAGAGGATGTTGAGATACATCAAGGGAACTGTTGATCATGATGTGTTGTTGCCAAAAGGATCGAAGAACAGTATAGAGGTCGAAGTACATGGATACACTGACTCTGATTTCAGTGGAGATCAAGATAAAAAGAAGAGTACTGCAGGGTACATCTTCATGATCGAAGGAGCTCCAATTTCCTGGAGTTCGAGGAAGCAAAGCACTGTGGCTTTGTCTTCATGCGAAGCAGAATATGTGGCTGCATCATATGCTGCATGCCAAGCAGCATGGATCGAAATGCTACTTGAAGAGCTCAGAATAATGGAGTCGAAGATGAAGCTGTTTGTTGGTAACAAGTCAGCAATAAATCTTGCGAATCACACAATGTGTCATGGTCGAAGTAAGCACGTTGAACGAAGATATCATTTTCTGAGAGACCAAGTAAACAAAGGGAAGCTTGAAATAAAACATTGCAAGACAGAAGTGCAACTAGCTGACATATTCACCAAACCTCTGAAAAAAGTGAGATTCGAAGAGTTAAAGAAAGACATTGGGATGCGAAGTCTTGATAACATAAATTAAAGGGGTGCGTTAATTGGTTAATTCTCGTTATTTGCTATTTGGGTTTTAGCTTGTATTTGGGTCTGAGCATGTTGCCTATATAAAGGGTCATTACTTTATAATCCACATATACTGCTGCATCAAAATAACAGTTTCAGTTTTAAAGAGTTAGTTACACTAACTAACTCAACAATCTCTCTTTTCTTCTTCTTCTTCTTTTTTTCATTGTATTCATCTTTTTTGAATTCTTTGTTCCAACAATACTATATTCTCATATTTAATTCAAGTTTTAAAAATTTATTTAAGATTTTTTTATTTTCATGAATCTTATCTATTCATGATTCATGTATTCTTATTCTAATGGTTAAGGATGGAAAGATAACATTCTCATATATGAATAAACTGAATTAATTATAACTTTCCCCTGCATTCACATTTATTATTATTTTAATTTTTCTTAAATTTTAAATTACATAATTTTACAATTATTTATGGAAATCTAAATCTCTACCTAACACATAATTAAAATAATATTTCTAAAAATAATAATCATATTCAAAAAATATAATATTAAATCTAAACAAATACACCATACTTTTTTTACGTAACACAAAGGATATTACTATGGTCTCAAGCAAAAATACACCAAATTCTTGTTTCCCACATCGAAGATATGATGATGATGAATAAAACCACATAATTGAATGACAAGAACCAGAAATCATAAATGCATGTAACATAAGAATTCTTGAAATTCAAACACTTTTTTATTAAGGTTGTTTGATGGAACAAAACAGAAGAACCAAGTGTCTTCAAAGTACAATATCCCAACACTATTTTCCTTTTTTTTTTCCTACCCATTATCTCTAGATAAAGTTGCAATACAACATCCCCGTAACAATGTGACATTATAATATTCATAAAAATAAAAAAATAAAATGTGAGTGGAGTTAACGCCAAGCAGATGCGACGGTTAGTGTTCTTCCCATCCACCCAAAACAAACCCCACCGTTTTCCTCATTCACAGTAACTCGACTTCCCGGAGCGAGTCGCGCTTTCACTGACTCAGCAACTTTCTGACTCACCGGGTTCAACCTAAACCCAGCCATACTCATCCGTGCACGCCACTTCCCAAACACTTCACAACGCTCCACGCGATCCCTACCTTCACAAGCAACCGTGTTGCCCAATTTCCGACTCAGCCCCTCCTCAATCTTGACTCGATCCATACTTTCCTTTCCCAGTGTTGACTCAATTGAATCAATCAACGTGCCGTAATAGGAAAATGACTCAGCCACTCGTGCAACGAATGGTGCAGTGTTTGTATTCATCTCTTGCTCTAAGAGGGTAACTACAACCGGGGAGAGTGATTTCACGCGCCGGAGAAGCTCGTCGCGTGGATTCTCAGTTGACACGCTTTCGTCTGGCATTCTGAAAAGTTTGAACGCGAAGTTCACAGCAAGAATATCCTCCGAGTTGAAACCCAAAGACTCGCGAGTTAGCTCAGCGATTTTCAGTGTCACCACTTTAAATTCAAACCCGATTGTTAAACGCTCAGCTTGTGAACTCAAATTGTCACACACCATCTTCAACCTCTCGTCGTTGATGTTGTCAACAACAGCTGTGATCTTCAAAGTTGCCGGTGAACCTGAACTTTTGATACGCGCGTGTAGCTCATGGAGAAGGTTAATGTATCTTTGCCCATGGCCAATATCAAAATCCACCACACAAAGATTCTTCATATTGTTGTTACTGCTCTCTGTAGCTGTTGTTGCATCGAATGCAGCTTCGATGATTGCGACGTTGGCAGCCATGAAAGCGACCTTAAAGCAGAGAGAATTATCAAACAGAAGCTGAGTTGACTCAGCGTGTTCCTTGCTGAACAATTCCGCTATTGGAGGCGGAATTTCGCAAGGATTCATACGGGATTTCAGCGCTGAGACCATACAATAGGTTAATCTACCATCAAAATTCAGCAATGGATTCACTAACTGAATCAAACGGTTAAGGATCTCCGAAGCAGCATCGATTCTACCTTCGGAAATCGCGTTAGCCGCTTCCACTAACGATTGCTTGGAAGAGAACATAGCAGGTGAAACAACAGAGGAAGAAGATGAATTGTTGGATGAAGCGGGAGATGAAACGGGTATTAGAATCGGGTTTTGCTCGAAGCTAATCAAATTCTGAATTGTTTCCGACCATTCACTGTTTGTAAGCACAGAATTTGGGTCGGGTTCTACTTCTTCGTCATTGTCATCAAGAAGCTGTTTTTCCAACTCCATTAAGCAATCCTCCATCATTTTCTTTTGTGGGTCAGGGAGTGTTGTTCGAATCTCATCAAAGTTGGAATTTTGATATTGAAAATTCGTGTTTTGGGGGGTGGAATTATTCACGGGGATTGAGTTTTGACCACTAGGGTTGGAGCGAAGAAGCGTGGCTATAGCGGAGGAGGAAGAAGAATCAGATGGTGAATTTGAGGAATCCATAGGAGAAAGAGGTGACATAGGAGAACCGTGTAGAAAATTTCTAGCTTTGACAGAACGAAGTACGAGGTTTGAAAGAAAAGCGTTAGCGGTATTGGTGGTATGAAGGTTGTTGTTGTTAAGGTTGTTGCTAAGGTTGTTGTTGTTGATGTTTTGGGTTTGGGTTTGAAATTCAGAGAGGGTACGTTTTCGGACGAGGGTGGAATTTAGGGGATGTGCGATTTGCGAAGCAGGGTCAAGGTATCTTCTGATAAGGTTTGATGATCGGTTTTCTTGGATTTGGGCTCGGTGGAAAGGGTTATGAAAATTCTGGGTGGTGGTGGTGGTGGTTGCGGTTGAGAATTGATTGTTATTATTGATGTTGTTGTTGTTCATGTTGGATGGAAGAGTGATAGATCTACCGGCAAAGTTGGTTGCTCGGCCGTATAGATCGGAGGATCCAATACCGCCGGTGAACCCCGGTGAAGACATGGTTGGGTTATTAGCAGAAAAGCATGAAAGAGAAGAAAAAAAAGGGGTTTTTTTGGTTTACTTGTGAGGTTGAAACTTGAAATGGTGAATTTAACGAAGGTTTTAAGATAGATTAAGAAAGTGAGTAAAGGTTTTTTTTTATTCTTTTGGATCTTTTAAACGGTACGAGTAACGTGAATGTTTCTTTTTAAGATTGATGCTGTTGAGATAACAGCCGTTGGATTGTTCCGGGACGAGGATTATGGTCTTATCGGACGGTGGTTAGTGGACAATACCGGAACGTATTTGTAATGTAATGATGGTGAAATTCGTTTCTGGATTGGGATATATCTTAGGGTTATCCCACGTCAATGATTACGCGCGTGTGTTACTTACCATATCATGTAAAAAAATCAACGGTTCTTGTATTGTTCATGAATGTAACAAGGAGTAAGAGGTTAGGTACACGCTTCTAGATACAATTTTAAGTGGTAATTTTTTATATTACTATTCAAGTACATTATATCCATAATTGTATAAAATTAATCTTTTAAAAAAAACTAAAGAATGTTATATTTTTAATTCAAATTCAAATTCAAATTCAAATTTTTTTTAAAGAGAAATGGATAAGATCATGACTCAATCTTACTCAATCATCTATTTATATGTGTAATTATTCTTTTGTCTAACTCAAGATATTTTCAATAGATATCTATAATAGCTCAATATTTTAAATTAGACCTATTTACTTAATGTACTTCAAGTCATAAAAGTGTCATCCCATATCATATAAGATATAATGCAAGATACAAATGTTAAAAGCATCTTCAATAATGATGAAACTCTTTTTTGAGATTTTTTTGAAACCTATTAATCCACATTATCTTAAAATAATTTATCAAATTTTTATTTCGGTGATACAAATTCTAAAGAATCAATATTAGATTTCACAATTTTAAATCAAATCAATAAAATTGTATGTTAAAATTTGAAACAATAACATTTATATAAATACTTTAATCAAAGAGATATTGCTTGCTGAAGAAACATTAGCAACTTGTTGGCAAACTCTAATAGTAAAAATCCTACTTTTTAATTTTCCATCTTGGCGAATCATATGAAAATCTGACTATTAGAGGTGCTCTAATATGGTTTTCTGATTATTATGATTATTGAGAGCAACATAAGAAAGATGAGAAAATGAGAAAAATAGTTCTCATACATTGATTAAGAGAGTGGGCAGTATTTATAGAAGAGTGTATGTATCAATAATACTTGAAGCTTAAGCTAACTCATCTAAGCTAACTAACTTATGCATGGTGTAACCAACTTAACTAACTCTCAAGTTCTTCATCATTTATTAGCCTCCCACAAGTTGAACTTTGGTAAATATTTAGCAAATTCAACTTGGTCACGAGGGAGTATAAGGCTTCAGAAGTAATGGTTTGATGAAAATGTCAACAAGCTGGTTGTTGGAAGAGACAGGAAGAAGCTCCATGACTCCAACCAGAAATTTTTCTCGAACGATGTGACAGTTAATATCAAGATGTTTGGTTCTTTCATAAAACACAGGATTAGCAGCAATGTGGAGTGCACTTTGGCTATCACAAAAGAGAACTGGAACTTTGGGACATTCAGTGTGCATATCCTTGAGCAAATACATAATCCACTGAAGTTCACATGTTGCTGCAACTAAGGCTCAATATTCAGCTTCAGAGAAAGATCGAGAGAATGTGTTTTGCTTCTTAGTGCGCCAAGAAATAAGAGAATTCCCTAAGTATAAACAAGAATCTAACATAGATCTTCTAGTGTCGATACAATCTACCCAATTTACATCATGAAATCCAGTAATGTAAAGAGATAATTTGCGAGGAAAGAACAAACCTCGACCTAGAAAATGCTTCAGGTATCTTAACACTCTATAGGCTACATTGTAATTTGTTATGGATGGCTTGGGTAGATACTGACTGAGCTTTTGAGTAATGAAAGTGATGTTAGGTTTGGTTATGTTGAGGCAAACCAGTCTTCCAATGAGTCTTTGGTAGGAAGGAATATCTTCAAAAACTGGACTGTTATCCTGACATAATTTGATGGAAGGATTAGAAGGTGTATTCGCTGGTTTAGAAGCTAAGAAGTCTGAGTCAGTCAAGAGGCCAAGGCAGTATTTTCTTTGACAAATGGAAATGCCCTCTTGAGATTAGGCAACTTCTAAACCCAAGAAATATTTGAGTGTGCCAAGATCTTTTATCTAAACATCCTGATGCATAATGTTCTTCATGAAATGGAGATCCTGCATAAAATCTCCTGCCAAAATAACATCATATACATATACAAGAAGAAGTGTAAATTGAAAATTCTGGCTACAGATACTTAATGTCACGTCCGATGTTATGACACCGTATCTGACTTACTATATGACAGTAAATACAAAAGCAGTAAACAACACAGTCAATTGTTTACCCAGTTCAGTGTGCAACAACACCTACTCTGGGGGCTACCAAGCCAGAGAGAGAATCCACTATAAGAGATGTTAATTCAGGAATAAACCAACCAGTTTATCTCCTTCACTTAAGACCTACCCAATGCAATTCTAATCTAAGTACAACTTAAACCTGAGTTCCTACTCACTCCCCCTCAATCACAGCAGTGATACATAAACTAATTTGACTTGAGAATTGATGAAGACACTCTTCAAAACACACTCTTGATTAAGCTTCACAGCTTTTTAATCAAGTAACACAATCACTCGTGCTTCACAGCTTTGAGTGATGTACACAACTAACTTGACTCTGCTTCACAGCTTTAGTCAAGTAACATTCAAACACTCTTGCTTCAAAGCTTTGAGTGCTACACAACCCTTACAATTGAAACCTATTCCAAGACACTTATCACAATGATAATTGCTTGGAGTACAATAAACAAATCTATACAGATTACAAACTTGATCTTCTAATCAATCAGCAGGGATGACTTCAAAAACCGCAGCTCTGTTGAATATATAGCAGCTGCAACTTCAGTTAGGGTTTCCAAAAACCTAGGGTTGATTCCGTTTGACCTAAAGACCAGGTCACAGTACTTTGTTGATCAGGTTAGGATTGAGCGAGGTTACTCCTCAGAAAACGCAGGATTCTGTTTAGGAAGGACTGAGTTATTTCCTGAAAAAACTCAGACTTATCCAATCCTGTAATCCTGCTAGTTCAGAACAGGATGTCATAACATCTGTTATGACATCTGAGAAAACCTGTCTACTGATTAGCTAAATGTGATCATTTTGCAAACATGCTCAGATACACACTTATAAACATCAGTATTTGAGTTACAATATTTTTCTGCATATGTACCTAAAGAGTTAGTACAACCTGAACTAGAATGTTATGACATCAGTCATGACATTCATACATACACTTGGAGTTTACCAAAAATGCAAGCCAATACCTAAACACCTACAAACTCCCCCTTTGGCAGATTTTTGGCTAAAGTCCCTAAACAATCAGAGATAGATAGATAGCAGCAGAAATAAATGACAGCAGAAAAATATAGTGTTAAGTACTAATTAAGCAGTACCAAATATTCTCCCCCACTTTAGCCACAAATGGGCCAAAGATTACATGTTTATAAAGTAATACAGTTATCCAAGACAAAATAATGAGATCAGCAGCAGACAATAGCAGAACATACTTCCAAACTCCACCAGCAACACCACCAAGCAGCAATCATCCTTCAAGTACTGTCATCAGACTCAGAGGAGCCACTTTCTTCATCTTCTTCCCTCATGCTTGCTTCAGCTTCATCCTTTTCTAGCTTGGCAATTAGTGCTTCTAGGGTCCTTTTTCTAGCATCCAGATCTTTGCAAGTTTCTTTTAAGACAGCTATGACATCTGATGTTTTGGACTGGCTCTTTGCAGACGATGTCTCAGCTGATGTTATGACAATGTCTGGAGCATGGGATCCCTGAAACAGTTTGTAGTGCAGGCCAAGGGCAGGGGCTCTTTTGCAGACTGTATCTCTTGCTACAAGTATGTCAGGATATTGTGCAAGGATGATTCCACAAAGGAGGGAGGGAAAGGAAATTGGTCCTTTGACAGCATAACTGCCAGCATGCTTCAAGATTTGTTCAAAAATGTACCTTCCATAGTCAAAGGCAGTCTTGGTTCCTACAGCATAGATGAATCTCCCCAATCCTGTGGAGATGGTTGATTTGTGATTTGTAGGCACCCAGTTTGCTGCACCTATTTTATGCAAGATGGCAAATTTCATGCTGAGTTTACTAGCATTCAACTTCCCTTTCAATGGCCAGCACTTTACTTGCCTGGCAGTGATGGTCAAGCATACTTCATTGTCAGTTGCCTCTAGATCAGGACAGTCCTTATTCGTTCTTCCAAGAAACTTGTTGATTTCTGATGGAGAGAACTTGACCCTTCTTCCTCTAACAAACACACTCTCAAAGTCAGCTGACCTCCCATCAGCACAATCATTGGATAAGTTCACTACAAACTCTTTAACCAGATTTTCATAACATTTGCCAAACTTCATCACAGTCTTTATTAGCCCAGCATTCCTGATCAGCTCCATGATGTCTTTGCACTCCAAAGCATCATTGTTGAGTTCTCTCTCCAAGGCTATTCTCTTCAAGCAAACATACTTCCACCTGTTTGCATTATCAGGATGATGAAAGGAGATGTTGTCAGTTGGCACTTCAGGCACTCTAGCAATCTTGCTGGAAGGGAGCTTCCTTCTGATGGGAGCATTGTCAATGTCAATCTCAAATTCTGATTCATCATCAGAGTCAGAAGTTTCAGGTTCTTTTCTTTTCTTGGAGATTGGTTGTCTAGCAGTCAGCACCTGTGCCTTCTTCCCTTTTGTCTGAATATTTTCAGCCATCCCTTCAGCCTTGGACTTCTTAGGTTTAACAGTCTCACTACTTTTTCTTTTCATCAATCTCCTAGCAATGCTAGGGTTCACATTAGCAATCAGTTCATTATCTGAGTACTCTTCATCCACATCAATGATAGGTGGATCAG